CGCGGCGACCCCGCGCGTCGCCCGCGCGCGATCGACGCGCGACGCGCGATCGCGCTGTAACGTAGACGTCACACCGAACGCCTCGCGCGCGCGCGACGTCGCGGCGCGCGCGGAGATGGACCCCCGAACGCGTCCGGTCCCGCGCGCCGGGCGCCGCGGCGTCGACCAACTGTTTCCGCGCGCGCCCGCGGCCGCAGTCGTCGACGGGGCCAGCGCGCGAGCGATCGACGGCGCGAGCGATGGCGGTGACGCGTCGAACGACGCGCGCGGGCGCGCGCGCGCCCGGGACGGGGGCGTCGTCGTCGCGAGCGCCGCGTCCGGCGATTCGAGCGTCGTCGTCGAGGACGAAGACCGCGTCGAAACGCTCGAGCGCGTGGGCGCGCGCGGAGATCGGGGGCGCGCGCGCGCGGAGATCGTGGTTCGTGCGCGTGTGGGCGTTCGATTGGTCGTCCGCGGGGGCGTCGAAGCGCGTGCGAGCGTTCGCGGTGGTCGTAATCGCGTGCGCGGCGACGTACCTGCGAGACGTGTACGTTCCGGAGCGCGTGCGCGTGGCCGTGGTCGGAACGCTGCCGGAGTGGGTGAATGACACGGTTTTGGCGCGATTGCCGGCGCTGGCGTACGTCCCAGATAGTGGGGCGCGCGGGGTCATCGGACGCACGATGGCTTTGGGAGGCGCAGAGCCGAAGCATCCGGTGGTCATCGTTCCTGGATTCGTGAGCACGGGATTAGAGCTGTGGCGAGGGCAGGCGTGCGGGGAGCACTTTTTTCGACGCCGTATGTGGGGGACGCCCGCGATGGCGCGGGCGTTCTTTAGTAATCAAAAGTGTTGGATGGAACACATGCGACTGGACGCGAAGACGGGCTCGGATCCGGAGGATATCCGTTTGCGAGCGGTTCGGGGATTAGAGGGCGTGGACTGGTTCGTTCCCGGATACTTCGTGTGGGCTCGAATAATAGAGGAACTCGGAGGGTTGGGGTACGACGCGAACACCATTCACAGCGCGGCTTATGACTGGCGGTTGAGTCCACACATGTTGGAGGTGCGCGACGGGTACTTTTCGCGATTGAAATCCGTCATCGAGACGCTCCACGGAGTGAGCGGCGAGCGCGTGGCTATTCTCGCGCACTCATACGGCGACACGGTCACTAGGTATTTCTTCGAATGGGTGGAGACACCTGTGGCGAAGGGTGGTGGCGGCGGTGGGAAAAAATGGGTCGACGCGCACATTCACGCGTACGTCGACATTGCGGGTCCGATGCTCGGAATACCGAAGACCATTCCCAGTCTGCTGTCCGGGGAGATGCGAGACACCGCGATACTTGGAGAGCTCGAGGGTATGCTCGGAGGTATACTCGAAAATGCGATGGGACGTTTCATCGGAAGCCAAATAAAAGAGGTGTGCGAGACGTTTCGTACGTGGGGCGCGCTTTGGGCGATGCTCCCGCGAGGGGGCTCGAAAATTTGGGGCGATGAGAGGTCAGGCACACCGGATGTCGATGCGGCGGGTGACTCGGTTAATTTCTTTTTGCAGCTCCGAGAGAGCGGCCAGTCGAGTGAGAAGAGCTTCAATCATTCAATCATGAGTGCGACGAGTCTGTTGTTCGAGCATCTGGCGGATTCAGTCCCTCACAACGTCGCCGAGTTTAGCCATTTCCTCGACGAGGCAACGCGCGCCCGTCTGAAAAAGCGTATTCCGAGTATCAAGTCGAAGGTGGCGCCGAATTTCGGTGATTCGTTGACGAGCCCTTTACCGCACGCACCGAACATGAAGGTGTACTGCCTCTATGGTGTGGGAAAACCATCCGAACGGGCGTACGCGTACGAGCGCGTCGACGACGCGCTCCGTCCGTATCAGCTCGACGTCGATCAATCTAGGAACGGGGTCTTGACGCGCGGGGTGTGGCAGGTCGACGGCGATGGTTCGATACCTCTCGTGTCGCTTGGATACGTCTGTCGTCACTGGCGAGATAATCGAAAACTCAACCCAGCCAATGTCTCCGTCGTAAGCAGAGAGTATCATCACCGCGCACTTCCTCTCGGTGTCGGTGGCTTCCAGGGCAAGACGGAGGGCGACCACGTGAACATCATGGGCAACGAAGACATGATCGCGGACATCCTCTCAGTCGTCGCCGGTCGCGCCGAGGACGTGCGAGAGCGCATCGTCAGCGACATCGACCATCTCTCCTCCGTGATCGACGCCCGCTTCGCCTCAGCCAACCCACGCGAGTCGTTTTAGCCCCTTTATGTAGTCATAAACCGCATCGATCGCGCGAGATGCCACCCCCTGCACCCCCGTTCGTCGACCGCTCGATCCGTTCGCCGCCTAGAACACGCGACGCGACACGTTTCACGCCCCAGACCCCCACGCGCGGCGCCGCACGCTCGCCATGCGCGCGCACGCGATCTTCAAAATCACTCTCGGCTCACACGTTCGCACCGTTCGAGCGAGGCGAGCGAACGCGCGCGCGCGCGCCGTCAGTGACCCAACGATGACGTCGACGCCGGAATCTTCTCAGCCGAGCGCCGCCGACGGCACCGCAGCGAAGCGCGAGCGACAGTACTCCCTCGACGAATTCGATGACCCGAATGTGGACCCGATGTCGAGCTACGACGGCACCACGTGCGTGATCACGGATGAGTTGGAGGTGGATAGACGAACGCTCGGAACGACGCTTCGAGAACAAATCAAAACAATGGGCGGCGAGCAACTCATGGATCCTCATGCGTTCGTGTCGACCGATGAGCAGCGGAGGCAGTGCGCGATGTTGTTCGGGTCGTGCGCGTTGTTGGTGGTTAAGGGGCTGGGCGAGTTCGGTGCGGATGGGTTCGAGGCGTGGGAGGCGGCGGCGGCGCTGGCGACGGCGGCGCTGGCGTACTGGACGAGCGATCTTGGAACTGGGATTTTTCACTGGAGCGTGGATAACTACGGAAGTAAGGACACGCCTCTGCTTGGGAAGGTGATCGACGCGTTCCAAGGGCATCACAAATATCCGTGGACGATCACCAAGCGACAGTGGGCGAATAACATTCACACCACGTGCGTCGCTCCATTAGTCTTCACCACGCCCACACTGTTGCTCAACGATCGTCCGACGGATTTGATCTTTGTCGGTGTTTTCACAGCTCTCATTGTGCTGAGTCAACAGTTTCACGCGTGGAGTCACATGAAGAAGAGCGAGCTCCCGAGCGCGGTGCTTGCGGCGCAAGACATCGGCTTACTCGTGGGACGACGCGATCACGGTCAGCACCATAAGGCACCGTTCGAGGGTCACTACTGCATCGTGAGCGGCTACTGGAACCCCATTCTTGACGATAGTGGATTCTTTCGCAAGCTAGAGCAGATGATTTTCAAGGCAACCGGCGTCGCGCCGCGATGCTGGAGCGACGACTTGAACTTCATTGTTCAAGAAGACGCACCGGAAGGTTGGGGCAAGGGCATCATCACCAAGTAAGCAACGAGCGTGATTTTTGTACACTACTTTACGTTCTTCTACGAACGCGGTATTGATTTCTCATTATTTTCATGTTACAACAGCAGATGAACAACCTCCTTTCAAGGCACCCTTCACTCAATCATACTCGACGCAACGCTTCATCGATGACCTGCACGCACTCGACATGGTGCAAACCCACTGCGACGTCTCGAGGTAAGACAGGTTCGTTCACCGCCCCCAGCGAGTGATCGGTGTACAACACGGCGCCAAGCGACAGGGACGCGCCGAACTTTAATAGAGTCCGCGCCGACTCCGCGCTCCCCCATTCACACGCGACAAACATCGGCGTCTTCCCGTTGTGATACCGCACATCGATGTCCGCCCCTGCTTGGACTAACATTTCGATCGCATTCACGTCGTTTCGTTTCGCCGCCGCGTGGAGCGGCTTCCACCCCTGCCGCGTCCCTCGGCAGTTGGCGTCCGCGCCGCTCTTCAGCACCAACTCCACGCAACGCGCGCGCGCGCCCGCGTCGCTCTCCATCGTGTCCGCGCAGCACGCGTCTAATAACACGCTATCCAACGTCCCTAAATCATCCTCGGCGACGCCGTACCGCAAGAGTACCCCCAGTGCCTCCTCTCGTCCGCTGTTCGCTGCCGCTCTAGCCGCGCGCGCAAGATTCTCCGCCCAATCCACGTCCCGTTCGCGCCGTTTGCTCACCACACGCTCAAGTTCCCTCGAACGACCGCGCCTCGCGGCCAAGGAGAGCGCGGCGCCGACATCGGCGTGCGGAAAAGAACACAGAACCTCCAAGGCGTCCCAGTTTTCTGATTTTTCAATCTTCGTGAGATCGCTCAACCATCGCGCGAGCAAAGGATCGCGCGCGCGCGCGGCGTAAGAAGAGCTCACACGAAGTGCGATGGGATCATTCGACGCGAGCGCGGCGAAACGGATCATGTGCGAGCGCGTCCGAGTGCGGGTTCGAACTGGCGCTAATTCGGTTACGCACTACGTATTAAGATGACTTCTTCGCCTCGGCGGCGACGCGCTCGGCCTCGCGCTCGGCCTGAGCTTCCTCTAGACCCTCACAGAAATTCCACACGGCTGAGATCTCGCCCTTGCCCGCGAACGCGGCGCGAAGAAAGGTGGCGCCGAGGACGCCCGGTACGAGATACAAGAGCGCCGGTTGCGCCGCGTTGAAGACGTTCATGACGACGATGGTGGTGAGAATGCCGAGAAGATAACCCAGAGAGACGGCGGGGAAGTACGTGGGGACGTCACCCGCATCGTGATTCACCGTTCGAGACGCCGTCGCCGCACGCTTGGATTCGGACCGAGTGACGGACTTTCTCGGTGCCGCGGCCGCTGCGCGTCTCGCGTTGTCCATGCGCAAAATCATCGCTACGTAGAGACCCGGGATGACGATGTCACCCAAACCGAGCATGCTAAACGGCTTATCTGCGGTCGCGATCGCGCTCATGCTCACTCTTGGGAACAAAAGTTTGATCGGAGCGTCGAACGAGCGCGCCACGCTCACCATGACGGGCGTGCAAAATACCCAAAAAATGTCGTAGACGAACAACCCGGCGAGCAAGATGGAACCGATCTGCACGCTGTCGATCGTCAAGAACTCGATCCCTTGCAGCGCAAACGCCATCCCGAGCGCGTTGTTAGTTAACCAATACTTTGTCTTCACGTACCCTAGGACGCCGACGGCGGCGAACGCGTACGCCGCCACCTCCGCCGCCGTGCACTCAAACGTCCACCGCTCCTCGTTCAACCACCGCACTCGCGGCACCCCGAATAGCTCGTAACTCCTCAAACTCTTCCCTTTAAACAAAATCCCATGCACGACCGGGGTCAGCACCCCACCGATCGATACCAACCCGAGCGCTCCGAAGTACGCGCTCACCGCGTAGTCCAGCCAACTCTTCGGCAGAAACTTAAACGCCAAAAACGCCGATACCAAGACGCACGAACCGAGAAGCGGGAACTTCTGGGCGTCGCCCTTGGTCATAACCTCCCCACCGCCATCGCGAGCGATCGGGACGCTCCGGTACGCGCCCGCGATGACGCACAACGTGGACACGAGAACGATCTGCACATTCGGATCGATCTCGATCAACGTCGGGGCTAAGGCGGCGACGACGAGGGCGAGGTGCGTGAACGGCGCGGCGAATTGCTCGGCCTCGATCATGTTATCGCCTCCGGCGTCGGCTTTGGCGGACATCGAGCGCGTCGGTGAGTGCGGCTTAGCGGCGCGGCGTTTGGTATTGGTGTATTCGACGACGCGACTGCCGCGTCAGAGCTACGTGGTCGATGCGTGCGCGACGGCGCGTCTTCGAACGAGATCGACGCGATCGGCGCGCCCAGACGCGCTGGCCCCACCGCCGAACTGCGCCGCCATCTGTGCCTCGGTGGCTTTACTCAAGGCGTCGTTCACCGAGCGTCGCGCGTACGCGTACGCCGAGCGAAACGCGCGTCCGGCGACGTCCCCGACGCGTTCGAACATCGTCGCCAAGACGTCGTCCACGCCGCGTTCGTGTTTCGCTAAGAATGGCGCTAAGAATCTATCGTACACGTACAGCGCGCCCTGGAATCGCGGGTGCCACAGGTACGTCACGAACGCCACCTGCGCGCGCGTCGACGTAATCCACCCGTCAGTCAACATTCGTCCCTCACGTCCTCCATCCCGCGTCTCTCGCCTCGGCATCGCGCGCACGCACTTTACTCTCTCTATATAACCCAACCCTCCCGTCGAACGCGCGATCCAACCCTCGCTCGCACGTCGCCCACGCGGCGTAGACGACCCAATAGCAGCACCACCCTCTGCACGCGTCCGGTCGCTTCCGGTCGTGCTCGAGCGTCTTATACGTCAGGTACCCGGGGTAGACGACGCCGAGGACGAAGAGGATCGCCCTCGCTAGGCGCGCGCCGAGCATCCCGCGCGCGCGCGTGCGCGGTGGACGCGCGCGCGAGACGCGGGACGACGGTGTGTCGCGTGTGTGCGTACAATGGGGTTTTGGTTAAAAAGGCGTTTCAAAACGCACGACGGCGACGCCGCGCGTCGACGCAGAGGGCGACGCGATGACGACGTCCTGGGCGCCGTTCGCGGCGGAGAAGCGACGACGAGACGGCCGGGAGCATCACCGAGTCGCGTGTGAGGCGTACGCGCGAGGCGAGAGCGAGAGCGCGATCGAGGCGTTCACGAAAGCGCTGGAGGTGGACCCGAGGAATTTCATGGCGCTGTGTAATCGAGCGCTCGCGCGATTGCGAGCGAAGGACGACGCGAACGCGTTGCGAGACGCGCGAGCGTGCGTGAGGAACGCGCCAAAGTGGCACAAGGCGTGGTACAGGCTTTCGCAGGCGAGGACGGCGCTTGGGGACGATGTGGAGGCTTTGAACGCGCTCGCCGAGGCGCGAAGGCTGAGCGACGGGACGGGAGACGCAGAGGAGCTCGATCGAGCGATCGAAGCGGCGCGCACGCGCGTTCGGGAGAGCGGTGACGACGATTTGATCGACCGCGTGCGCGCTTCGGAGGAGAGGCGGGAAATAGACGTGGCGGCGGAGGAGGAGGAGCTCGAGCGGCGTCGGTTGGTGCGACGGGCCAAGTTGGAGGCAAAGAGAGCAGAACGCGCGGTCGCAGAGGAAAAGCTAAAGCGCGATTTGAACCTCGAGGGCGTATATGATAAACTTGCGGACGTGAACACGTATTTGGGCGATCTCAGCGACAGCGACGACAGTGAGTTGGAGGCATACGATCCCGAGGGACGCGCGATGTTCATTCCTCGACGAATCACAGACTTTTCATCCTTCGCGCGGAGGCTTCGAACTTCCATTGGCGCAGCCGCGACGACGGACGCAATGTGCGAGTTACGACGATACGGGCGCATACAAATATCACTCGGTCCCGCAGTGGCGGGAACGTCCAAGTTCAAAGCGGCGGCGGACGCGATGGACGCATGCGCGTTGCCGTATTGCGTCATTCCCGCGTGGCGGGAAGCGACGAGTCCTTGGCCGATGCAACTGGCGATGGCACATCAGGACGTCCAGGACGCGATGTGGCTCATGGAAACCGTCGCTCGAGTTGTCGCTGGGACGGTTTACGAAGACGCCGGGAAATCGACGCAAGATCTCGATCGAGTGCTGGACTCTCCGCTCTTCGCCGGCGAAGAACGAGATCGAGCGCCGGAAGTCACCGATGTCTCTCCGAGCGCGCTCGTTCTCTCGATCGACGAATCATTCGCAAAGGGCTATGCCGAACGTACGTCCGCGCTCGTTCGCGTTGATTGGCTCGAAGCGTACGAGGATGAAGACGCTAGAGCGGATGGCGAGACGACGCTCGTCGAGCTCAGCGTGTGCGCTGAATTAGCCCGCCGCGTCGACGACGAATTCATCGTCACGGAAGATCTCGATCCGAGCGATCGCGAGGGACACGGCCCAGACGGTACTTCATTCGCGTGTCCGCGTGCGCGTCGGCCATCGACCAGATCGCTCGTTTCTTTCTTTCTCTGCCCGGTGCCGAGGTAGGCGCGGAAGACGAAAAGACAGTTTTTGCGAGAGTACCGGTAGCCTATTAATAGAGATCTCTACTCACCGCCTCTCGCTATGTCCACGGCGCTCGCGCTGGCGACTAAATCGTCGGCTGTTCTCGATGTCATTGATCGACTCCGTTCGGACCTTCGCGCGCTCGACGAAGCGTCTCCGTCTCGCCAAGTAGCGGCGCTCGAATCGTTTCGCCGCAGAGACTGGAAGGTGCAAACAGAGCGATGGATGCTTCGTCGACGCAAGGTGATGAAAAAGGCGCTCGGCGAGCACGTGCGTTTACGATTCCGCGAACTTTTCGACGCCCTAGACTCGGACGGCGGCGGGGAGGTTGAATTCGAGGAGTTCACCGAGGCTTGGGCGCTCGTCTCTGGACGCGACGCGTCGTCCATGCGCCAAGCCCGAGAGCTCTTCGCTGGCATCGACGTCGACGGGAGCGGCACGATGGATTTCGACGAATTTGCACTGTTGATGAAAGGACTCGAGGACGAGCGACGCGACGGCGCGGGCGCCGGGGACGAGCGCGCGGCTATGTTTCAACAAGCGGCTTCGGCGATGCAGACGCGTCGCACGGTGAACGACTTCATCTCGCACTGGAGCGTCGCCCAGCGCGGTGATCAACGATGACGATCGGGATCACAGTGCATTCGTAGCGTTTAGCGCGAACGCCGGATCACTGAGCGATCGACACGACGTCTTCGATCGTCGCGCGAGTCGAGACGAAGACGTCGCGCTCTCGAAACCGCAGTCACCGACTCGCGGCGCGCACTCCATCGACGCTCGTCATGTCCATCGACGATGCCGCGACGTGCGTGGCGTACGACGACACCAGAGTCGCTTGCGTCGTCGGCACCGCCACCGGTGCGATCGTTTTTCGCGAGCGCGCCGTCGCGAACCGATCCGTCGGCGCCGAGGAATCCGCCGACGTCGCGTCCTGGCCGCGCGTCGCTCGCGAACGCGTCCCCTCGGCGTCGTCCATCACCGCGATCGCGCTCGCGGACGCATCGTGCGGACGCGTCGTCGCGGCGGCGAGTTCGAGCGGGGAGATTTCGTTCTGGCGCGCGCGAAGCGACTCGAACGGCGACGCGTCGCTCGAGCTCGCGGGCGCGTTGGCGGTCGACGGTGGCGTTTCGATTCACGCGCTCGCGTTCGCGCCATCGAATGATGGTACGATCGTCCTCGCCGCGGCGTGCGCGGACGGGATGTTGAGGTTTTACGAACCGCGCGAGAAGACGACGGCGACGGTTTGGGAGACGACGGGTGAATATGAGAGCGCGCGGCCGAACGGGACCTGCACGGCGGTGGCGTGGAGACGCGCGAGCGAACGAACGGGGATCGCCGATTTCCCCGTGCTCGCTCTCGGGACGTCGTGGGAGAGCGACGCGACACACTCGGTGAGCGTATTGGCGAGAGACGAAAAGATGGGACGGTGGCGCGTCGTGGACGAGCGCGCGGACGGACTCACGGCGCGGGTGTCGTGCTTGGCGTGGAGCGCCACGACGACCGCTCGCGGAGCTTTGAATCTCGTCGCCGCGTGTGGGTCCAAGTGCGCGGTGTACGAGTTCGAGGGCGTCACCACGAGCGGCGTGAGCAAGGCGACAGAGCTCGGGCGTCTGAACCATCCGTGCGAGGTGAACAGCGCGGATTGGAACGCGAGCGGAAGCGTCATAGCCACCGCCGCCACGGATGGGAAGATTCGATTCTGGAGCGCGAATCTCAAAGATGGGGCTTGGCGCGAGCAAGAGGTGTAGCACCGTAGCACTGTAAGATGATGAATGAAACTTTTCATTGTTGCAATATTTTTTCAACCGTCGCCGTAGCCGCTTCGAATTCCGTGAGCGACGCCGCGGTCGCGTCGTCCCCGATCTCGGCGTCGCGAACGCACGCGTACATCTTTCTTCCCGCGCTCGCGCACGCGGCGACGCTCGATCGAAGCTCTTCTAGATCATGCGGCGGGTAGCAACCGCACCCGACGTCGTCGATGGCGTTCTGAAGCGCCGCGCACTCCTCCACGATTGGCTCCAAAGCTTCGAGTTTCGCCGACTTTGTCTTGACCGTGGGTAATATGAGCCCCTTTAAGAGCGTCATGCACGCCTTACCGAACGTCGCCAGCGCCTCGCCTCGCGCCTTCTCCTCTTCGCTAAACTCGTCGGCGCCGAATCTCAAATCGTCCTCCTCGTCGGCGTCGACGTCGTCCTCCCCCAGACTCCCCATCTCCTCGCACGCATCCTTCACCAGCGTCGCCGTCTTCATCAACCTCGCCGACACCGCCCGCACGGGATCCCTCGGGCACGTCTTGAACGCCTTGGTGGACTCAAACACCGCGCCGCACGCCCGCCGCACATCCGCGCTCGTCCCCGTCTCCGCCGCGCGCGTCAACGCCATCACCGCCTCCCTCATCCCGTTCGCTCGCACCGTGACCTCCTCCCTAAAGCTTCGCGCGCCCTCCCCCCCCACCGCGAGCGCCGTCTCGATCTCACGCATCGCCGCCGCGCGCGCGTCTCGCGTCCGTCCCGCGCACGCCTTCGCCGCCGCGCGCGAATCCTCCAAATCATCATCGTTCCGGAAGCACACCCCCACTGCCCGCGCGCGCGCGCGTCGCCGTCAGTCGCTCACCCGCGCTCGCGTGAACGCGTTCGCGACGCACCTCGCGCGCACGCCGCGTCGACGCCGTCGAGCGCCCGCGCCGTGGCCGCGGTCCAGCCGTGAGGTCCCCAAAACGTTTCCAATCCCTCGCCCGCGTCCACGGGCGCGCGCGCCGGGGCGTCCGACGTCGCCGCGTCCGCGTCGCGCGCGTCCACGGGCGCGCGCGGGGGCGACATCGTCCGCGCGCGCGCGCGGCGATCGATGGCGCGTCGGCGTCGCGCGGGGTGTCACGCGTGCGTCGCACACGGTCGTAGACGATGCGTGAATACGATAGGGTTGACGAAATGTGCGTTTTATCTCGTGTGCCCATCACGCGCGTGCCCGAGGCGCCGCACACGGTCGAAAACGATGCGTGAATATATTAGGGTTGACGAAATGTGTGTTTTATCTCGCGGCCCCATCGCGACGTCGACCGCGGACGCGCGAGACCGACGCGCGCGATGGCGCCCCGCGCGCGCGACGGCGACGTCGACGTCCGCGGTGGACTCCCGTGGACGCTCCTGTGCGCCTCGTTCGTGAACTTTGCGAGCTTCCACGCGGTCAGAGAGGGATACATGGCGTGCAAGCCGGCGCTGCGCGCGCGGGACGCGTACCCGGCGGCGCTCTTAGGCGAGGTCGACTTTGGGTTCTGCCTCGCCTACGCCCTCGGTCTGGCGTGCAGTGGACTGGTGGGGCGGCGGTTCGGGTATCGGCGGACGATCGCGACGTCGTTCGCGCTCACGGCTGTGTTCGCGTGCGGATTGGGCGCGGCGGTTGGATACGGACCGCGGACGCGGACGAGCGACGACGCGTGGCGCCGAGCGCGGCTCGCGCACTTGCCGTAGTGAGCGTTTCAGACTCGGGGTAGGTTGTGCACACCTTTTCTTGAGTCATAATCCGTCAAGCTATGTATGGGGAAACAGTATGATCGGGGTACTCCAACTTGTGTTTTACCTTGTACAAATTTCGGCATGAGAAGGTGCCGGGAAAAGGCTACC